TTTTTTTTTAACCTGGGAGGTGGTCTTTGTGTTGTTTGGATGGGGTACATTCCTGACGTGATAACAAGATCCCCTGTAGGCAGTGTGTGTGTGGTAAGTGCTAAGTGCTCAGAGTCTATTGAATGCTGACTGTATGTGTAATAGTAACTGAGCAATAAAAGGACACCAGGTAATGTCCTAAATGTGAGGCATTTGGCATATAACCCCATTTTCAGGGTATGGTTATGTATAATATTTTATTCTTGCAGCCAGGTTGTCAAACAGTGGAAATAAGCTGCTAAGTAAAACATTAAATATTTTATGTTTAAAATCATTTTCCTTTGATATAAACATTTCTGAATTTGCAGTGATATCTATTTTCTTTGGAGAAAATATAAGAATCTTGTATCCATGGACGAGTAGAAGAAAGGCGCATTAGAATTTTTAAGGAACTTTCTTTTCAGGTGTTAGTGAACTCCTTGCAATTGAATAATGAATGTATTTTAACTCTTTTACAGGCATCCTCTGGTATTACGATTCCAAAGCCTCCAAAGCCACCAGATAAGCCGCTGATGCCCTACATGAGGTATAGCAGAAAGGTGTGTACCAGGGACCAGGACCTGGCGAGGACCCCAGCCCTGCTGACTGGCCTTCCGTGCCATTTCAGACTGGCTTGGTGTCTTCCTTATACATATTTGGGGAAAGGATTAAAAACTTATAATTTTTTTAAGTGGTTCATTCTGATTTCAGAATTCCAGAACTTGGATCCAAGAGGAGCATGGTTAAATAAAATGCTAAAATGTATTAATCAGATTAGTCTGGAGCCATGAAAGTAATGTTAGTATCTTTTGGAGAATATTGGAAAACATGAGGAAAATGTTAAATAGAAAAGCAAATATAAGACTGTATATGATATCTTTATTAAAAATAATAATGTCTGGGATGTAGTTCAATAGCAAAACATTTGCCTACATGTAAGAGCTCTTAGGATCAATTCTAAGAGCATAAAATGAATAAGTATGATCAAATATTATTTGATCATAATTATTACATATATGTTTGATAGTATGATACCATTGTATTATACAAATTAACTACTTGTAAATTTGCATGAACTGTTAGAGATATAGTCTTAATTATTCGGTCAGTTTGCTGTAAGTGTATACTGTGATTACTGATGTTCTTAAATTATCAGTTTGAAGTACTTATGAGTAAAATGACATGGTGTATGAGATCCAGCAGGGTAAAGATGAAGTGAGATAAGCCAGCTCTTGGCAGTTTTAAAGCAGACTGATTGGTACATACTAGTTTGATACTCTGATTTTGTTTGTGTTTAAAGGTTTTCATGGTAGAGTATTTTTAAATGATTATATACTGAGGCATTAATACTGAGTTTTCAACTGTTAACTTTTAAGGTCTGGGACCAAGTAAAGGCTTCCAACCCTGACCTAAAGTTGTGGGAAATTGGCAAGATTATTGGTGGCATGTGGCGAGATCTCACTGATGAAGAGAAACAAGAATATTTAAACGAATACGAAGCAGAAAAGGTATGGGGGGTAAAAATAAAATATTCTATTATTTACGAAAGAAACATAAGGCTGAGGCAGCACTGAAGTTCTGTCCACCAAGTTCCACTCACCTGACATCTGAACCTCGTGTTCTCTGTTCAGAGAGATGATTGTCCCGACACCATGCTTGGCCTCATGCGCCTGACATTCAGATAGTGGATGCAGGCACACAAGGTAGCCTGTAGGATTGGAATTATAAAGCCAACACCCCTTTCCATTTCAGATAGAGTACAATGAATCTATGAAGGCCTATCATAATTCCCCTGCATACCTTGCATACATTAATGCAAAAAGTCGTGCAGAAGCTGCATTAGAGGAAGAAAGTCGACAGAGACAGTCTCGCATGGAGAAAGGAGAGCCTTATATGAGCATTCAGCCTGCTGAAGATCCAGACGGTAAGGGGGGGGTGGGCTTTCCTATGTGCATTCTCTCTGAATTAAAATAGAAGATAAATCTTAACTCAAGGCTTTTATTTTAAATGAAAAAGTGTAATTTTAAATTATTTCAATAATAGGATTTTTTTGTGTATGACTTTCTCATGAGAAAAATACTCTTTAAAAGTATGTTAAAATGATTAAGGAAAAAAAGCTGTATTTATTACTTTACAAAGTCTTTGTACTCAGAACATAGGATTTGTTTGTTTTTCAAGACAGGGTCTCACTGTGTTATCCAGATTTGCCTTGAACTGATTCTCCAGCCTCAGCCTCCAAATCCTAGATTATAGGCTTCTGCTGACACACCCTAAGCAACATTATGGTCTTTTTGTTTGTTTGTTTGTTTTATGTGTGTAGCAAGCCTATAGGTTTGTGTGTGTGAGTGCAGCACCTGAGGAGGCCAGAGAGGGTGTCAAATCCTCTGGAGCTGCCCAACAAGCATTCTAGGAATTGAACTGTGGTCCTTTAGAAGAGCTCTACATGCTCTTATCTGCCACATCCATTCTTACAGATTACCTAAATTTTCTCTTAAGTGCAAAAATTAATGAGTGTATGGAAGCATTATAAAAGCTTAATTAAAAATCCAATATGAATTTGAGAATACCACACATGAGATCACTCATGAATGCCTGTCATATATTACACGTCGTCAGGGTATCAGACATTACACATATATTACTCACAGATGGACGGGCTTCCTAATTAGCATTCCATGTGCAGATTACTCTCCTGGCCTCCCAGGCAGGCAGTCTACAGTCTCAAGGACACCCCCACCCCCACCCCCACCCCCGAGATAGCCACCTCCCTTTAGGATCATGCTCATCCATGTACTTATCCTGCTGTGTGAAGGTTTACCTGTCTCTGTGTCCTACTGAATGCTGGACAGGATTGGAAGCAGCAACTACCAGCCACAAAAACACCAAGATCATAATTTAAGATCCCACTTTAAACACACCAGAGGGAGTTCTTCAGAACTTTAAAAAGATTTAAAGAGTGGAGGAGGTTATAATGGCACCAAGACAGGAGTAAATTCAGCTAAGTAAGAGGAAGAATCCGAAGTGAGCTTTGAAAGGATTCATTGGAGTTACTGGCAAAAGTTCTCATAAATGCAGTAGAATGTAATAAAATGTAGACTAGAAACAGGAATTGAGTGTTAAGCATTCACATTGCTAAAGATATATGCAGACTTTAATTACCCAGATGAAATAGTTGATGCAAAAAAGACATGACTAAAACTATAGAGGAGCAAGTCTGCAAATAACTGGGAGAATGGAGATCTATGTGGTAGAAACAAAGGTTGGCAACATAGAAGCCATATGTAGAAAATAAAATATTTCCTAAGCAAAATGTAACAGTCAAAACTAAGTTTGAAAGGCTCTTACATGAGCAGTAACATGGAATATAATAATTAAGCTGTATTGATATAATATGACCTTCTAGGACAGTGGTTCTCAACCTTTCTAACATTTTGACCCTTTAGTAAAGTTTATGTGGTAACCCCAACCGTAAAATGATTTCATTGCTACTTCATAACTGTAATTTTGAATTACAGTTATTTTGTTATTGTTATTCATAATTGTTATGAATTGTAATATAAATATCTGATATGCAGGACATCTGACATGTGACCCTGTGAAAGGGTCCTTTGACGCGCACGCACGCGCGCGCGCGCGCGCACACACACACACACACACACAC